TGCCTTCTTGTCCTGGGGAACATCCAAAGCATTGCTGAGCCTTGGGTGCATCTCACAGCACATGGCTGGGGCAGAGAGGGGGTACAGCGAGGTCTGGTGGGAATTTGGGGTGAGCAGCAGAGTTAAGGAACCMTTTGTGGGGTGGTCTCACCTGTCTGCCCCAGGTGTGGCTTTGATCACATTCCCTAGGTCGCTGTTGGAGCCAGGGGCCAACAGAACCCTGGGATGAATCCAAAGGAGCGGGTGAATCCAAATCCAGAAGGTCCAGGAGGGGATTCTCTCCTTGTTCTCCACTCCCTGTAGGTCCCACCTGGAGTTCTCTGTCCAGCTCTGAGGGCCTCAGCAGAAGGAGCTGCTGGAGCAGATCCAGAGGAGGCCACAGAGATGCTCCAAGGGCTGGAGCCCCTCTGCTCTGGAGCCAGGCTGGGAGAGCTGGGAATGTCCAGCCTGGAGAGGAAAAGGATCCAGGGAGACCTCCGAGCCCCTTCCAGTGCCTAAAGGGGCTCCAGGAGAGCTGGAGAGGGACTGAGGACAAGGGATGAAGAGGCAGGACTTGAGGAATGGCTTCCCACTGCCAGAGGGCAGGGTTAGATGGGATATTGGGAAGGAATTCCTCTCTGTGAGGGTGATGAGGCTTCACTGGAATTCCCAGTGAAGCTGTGCCTTCCCATCCCTTCAAGGCCAGGTTGGACAGGGCTTGGAGAAACCTGGGATAATGGAAGGTGTCCCTGCCCATTGCAGGGTATGGAACTGGGTGATCCTTAAATTCCCTTCCAACCCAGGCCATTCCATCAATGGGATGATCCTGAAGGTCCTTTCCAACCCTGACCATTCCACAATTCCTTGCCCCATTCCAAGGTAGAAACTGATGTGGAGAGAGCTGCCAAACTTCCTGCAGCTCCAATCCAGGTCAAACCTACCTGCTCCCAGGTGTGAAAGCCAAAACTCTTTGCTCAGCTGGGTCCTGTGAGCCTGTGGTGTGTACCACTGAGGGGACACATGTCCTTCCCTTAAGGGCACCTTCCAGAAGCTCAGTTATGGGAATCAGCTGAGCTTTACACTCYACAGAGGCTTGGGAGAGGGCTGAAGTGTCTCCAAAGTTGTTCCAGTGTAATGGTTTTAGAGCCAGTCAGAGACACGCTGGATCCTGGCCATACATTGTAGGGAACTGTAGTAAAATCAATTAGCAGGAATAAGGCTGCTGTGACTAATGAGCTAATGAGTGGTGTCTTAGTGAAAATGGCTCTAGAGGAGCTGCAGGGTTGGATTCCTTACTCCTTATTCATAGGGATGGGCCAGATTCAGGCYTGGCATTCTTTATTTTTAACTTTGCTTTTCCAGGCTTCTCTGTAACTTTTAAAGACAAKTCCTTATCAATGGAGGAGATGGAGAAGGGCAGGGATACTTTTTAATTCTTCTTTTTCTTGTGCAAGGATCTCATCTCTGGAGATTTTTCATTTCTGTCAGGGACGGGTGGGGACTGTGATGTCCCAGTGGTGACATTCATGGTAATTTAATGCCTGGCATCTGCACAGCAGCATTTCAGAGCTCAGGGCAACCCAGCCTTGCTTCTTTCATGAGCGCCGTTCATCCCTGACCAGGAGCTGCTGGAGGAGATCCAGAGGAGACCACAGAGATTCTCCAAGGGCTGGAGCCCCTCTGGATCAGCCTGGGGGAGCTGGGAATATCCAGTCTGGAGAAAAGAAGGATCCAGGGAGACCTCAGAGCCCCTTCCAGTGCTTAAAGGGGCTCCAGGAGAGCTGGAGAGGGACTGGGGACAAGGGATGGAGTGACAGGACATGGGGAATGGCTTCCCACTGCCAGAGGGCAGAGCTAGGTGGGATATTGGGAAGAAATCTTTCTCTGTGAGGGTTGGAGGCCCTGGAATGGAATTAACAGAGAATTCTGTGGCTGCCTCATCCCTGGAAGTGTCCAAGGCCAGGCTGGATGGGACTTGGAGCAACCTGGGATAGTGGAAGGTGCCCCTGCCCATGACAGGGGGTTGGAACGGGATGATTATTTAATTCCCTTCCAGCAAAAGCAGTGGGATGTGACAATCCCATGCCAGCAAYCCTCCACCCTTAAATCCAATCCTGTCTTTCACTCCTGTACCAGCCTGCTCCGGAAATTTGGGATTCATAGGAGATACAACAAGAGCTGATTAGAATAATGAACGTGGAGAGCTCAAAATAATTACATCAAGAAGACCCTCAGCACCTTCGGTCCCTGAAACTCTGCCCTGGAGGTGTATGGCAAATTTTAGGACTTGCAATGGGACCTCCTCAGCCAGGAATTGGGCAGGCTGGGAGGTTGTGGGATTTGGAGATTTCCAGGCTGGGTGCAAMTGAGGCAGGTCTGATGAAGATGCTTCTACCCTGAGACTGCTTCAGGTGGCAAGGTAGCACAGGAAAGAGCTTTGGCAGAGGATTTGGCTCAACTTTTCTTKTTATTTATGGCAACAAATTCATCTGAAATGCAGGGGCTTCTTGTATTATTTTTCCTTTGAAGAGATACATTAAAAAAATATTTATCTTTTTAAAAAATCCATCTTGTGATGAGGCAGATTTGTGCAGATTGTGTCTTGTAAATTTTTTTTTTCTGTAATTAGTGGGACCCCCCCACTACAAGAGGTTGCGGCTTCCCACAAAATCATAAAAGGAATTCAACAAAACAATATTTAAATGTTCCCATTAGTCCCTGTTATTTTATGGGTGAGCTGCCAGCCTTGCAAAGCAGCAGCAGCAGCATAGGGTGTACATAAAAGAGGAAACATTTCAAGACTCAAGATAAGATCAACTGAAACCATAAACAAGGTGTGTTGACACCCCCCTAAAACCACCCTCCGGAGAGAAGGAGGGAACAGGATTTAGAGCAGGGTGGTGGCGGAGATTCTTCCATCCAAGATTTTCTAAGGCGAGGGAGATCACATTTCAGCTGTGCAGGTGAAACCACTTATTTAGCACACATTGTTTGAGGCCACTTAATACCAGAAACCAGAAGCCACACCCCATCCATGTATTTTTTTTTCTTTTTTTTTCCCTAAGAACAATGCAAACATCATCAGAGGATTTCGCCCTTTTAATAGGATTATAACATTTTCTGCTGAACACAAAGAATGCCAGACCTGGAATATACCTAAATGTCTTCCCCTAGGTAATTTTGGGRCTGGAAACAACTGCTTAGCTCTCATAATCCGCATAATTACTGTATTAGAGAGGCAACCGTGAAAACAATCTGTCGGAATTCCTGAGGATGGACGTCACCCAGAAGTTGTGTTTGGAAAAGGAACAGCTATTGCTGAAATATTGAGACCACCTYTAGATTGGATATCAGGGAAAAATTCTTCCCTGTGAGGGTGGGGAGGCCCTGGAATGGAATTCAAGAGAAGCTGTGGCTGCCCCATCCCTGGAATTTTTCCAAGGCCAGGTTGGATGTGGCTTGGAGTAACCTGGAATTATGGAAGGTGTCYCTKCCCATGSCAGGGGGTTGGGACTGGATGKTCTTTAAATTCCCTTCCAACCCAAACTATTCCATGATTCTAAAGCTTTAYATTTGGAGAGATGATAATTGGGTTGTTTATCTAGTATTCCTAGATAATCTTCTAACATTCCGAGGCAGGACAGCACAAATTGGCCTCAAGTTGCACCAGGGAAGGTTTAAATTGGATATTAGGAAAAGTTTCTTTATAAAAAGTRTTGTAAGGCATTGGAACAGGCTCCAGGGAAGTGGTGGAGTCACATCCATGAAAGTGCTCAAAACCCTGTGGATGTGGCACTTGAGGACAGGTTTAGTGAGGAAAATGATGGGGGTGGTGGTTTGATTTTGAACGTGATGATCCTGACATCTTTCCCAACATTAATGATTCTGGGATTCCAAGAATTCAAGTGAATTACCCTGAATAAATTTCTTCCAGGTGGAATAACAAAAGTGGTGGAAACATCTCCAAAACCATCTTGGATTCAGCTTTTCCCCTTTCCTTAGTAAAGGTCTATGTTGGGAGGGCACCCTGCAGAGCCCCCAAAAGGCTCTTCCTTTCCAGTTTTTTGTAATTCCACACTCAAACTTGCTCATCCCATATTGGAGGAGTGTTTCCTAGTGTGGAGCCAGCCTGAGGTGCAGGAAAATCCAGCAGATGCCTGAAGCAGCAGAGTTGGGAATGGGAAAAGTGTTTGGGAAGCAAAAAGTCATGAGATTGGAACCACACTTGGAGAGGGCTGGCTCAGAGCAGAGGAGCTTTTCCTTTCCATCCTTCCTTAGGATAATGAGCCTGAGAGATTCCCTTGGTCCAAACTTTCTGGTCCTGGTCCTTTTTTTTCCCCCAGTACTGGTGCTTTTTTTTTTCCCCCAGTGCTCCATGGTTTTTCTGGTGGGTAAGGGATTCAAAATCAGATTTCCACTTCAAGACCAGACTGGATGAGACCTGGAGCCAACCTAGTTTAGTGGAAGGAGTCCCTGTCCATGGAGAGGGTTTGGAATGAGACTGTCCCTTCCAGTCCAAACCATTCCATGATTCTCCTCCTCCTGATAAACTGGCCCCTACTGAAGGTTAAAACACAGCGCAGAAAAATCCATAAGGCTCAATTTCTCAATATTCCAATCAAACAAATTTTTTTTCCACAAGATTTCTTGAAACCACTCCAAAAAAAAAGGAGAGGAAATATCCCCAAGCTGTAAAGCAAATCCTGGACACCAGGATTATCTAACACCCCTGGCCTTCCGCATCCTGCTTGGACACCAAACACTCAGCTTAACCAATTCCACCCATTGTCCACCCTGTGAAGCTGAATTTTCTTCTCCAAGGAACATGAAAAGAGATGACGGAGTAGCAAGAGGTGGGGCCTGCTTTGAAGCACCTTCAATTCATTTATAGCTCAATGAGACTCGTTTTTCAAGTAGATTTGGATCTGGGGACAGAATCGGTGCATGGCAAACCACCAGGACGGGTGACACTGGCGAAGAGTGGTGACAGCCTGGTGAGCAGACAACGAGGGATGTGCAAGATGAAAATGTTTCTGTTTCTTCTGTTGGCTGCTGTCACTTGCATGGATTTCGGTGAGTTCCTGCTYGGATTTATCCAGACTCCTTCAGGACATACAGCATGATGGGATAGGATGCACCCTGTTCCCTCTGAAAGCCACATCTCCCACTTTAAACAGTTTCCAGGAAAAAAAAAAAAATATCAATCTTTGGAACGTTTCCAGATGTTCAGGATGGTGATGGTGTCACTGGGATTGCCAGGTCAGGCTCTTTAAGGATGTCAGAAGGCAGAGTGTGATTAAACCATGTCATTCCTCCAATGCAAATTTCCACTCTAGCTTTTTCCATGCTTGTGCT